CTTCAGAACCCTTGGTGTTGGGAAAAAAGTAATCTGTGTTAATCTGTTAGTTAATTCATGTACCCAGGAATTCACTAACGACAAGTTTATAGCAATATTTACCATATGTAGATATGGTTTCATATGCAAAATTATTTTCTATATGCCATATGTAGGAGTATTTTTCCTAAGTTACATGTATTTTCGGTAAGCCATCCATGGAAGCGTTTTCCTTATACCACATATGGAAGCATTTTCCATAAGCCATGTGTGGAAGTATTTTCTGTTTGCCCTACGTTGAAGTATTTTCAATATGTACATGGAAGTTATTTCCTCATGCACTACATGTATGGGGAAGTATTTTCAGTTTCAGTATGCCATATATGGAGCTGTTTTCTCATACGCCATATATGGCAAATGTCGAACGAGTTGTGAATTACATCATGCATATTTACTTTGCAGCTATTTAATGACTGCAAAAAAAAACATTTTCATCAAAATATGATATATTATTCAACAGTATATCATTGAGATATGGTGACTGAGTACAAATCATGTGTTACAATTTCTGTTAAAAACTTTTTTCTGAAACAATTAAAGAATGATTTCTTGCAGATAAAAACTTATTGCTTATAATCATTGCCTTAGTCTTAGACAAGATGTCGTCTAATATCACAAGACTTTGAAAAATCTACGAATAATAGGCTTGTGTATTGTTCTGGAGGGCTGTGGACAGGCCTTAAGCACGGTTCAGTCTTCACAACGATTGACCAGGCCATTCTTGAATGCATTGGGACGACACTCAAAATGTCTGGATTCCAGGCTACCTCAGTCTCAATCCAATAATTACTTAATGTTACCTCATGCACTGAGTAAAACAAATTGTGCCGTCAATTAAAGTCTCATGTCCCTCCTTAAATTAAATTCCTTTGTCTAATCTTTTTATTCGGACATTAGATGAGCATTGTACGTGATTGGGGATATTAGGTTATTTTCAGTTATTGGCAAGATACTGTGTGATTTTGGTTGAAGTGTTGTCATGGCAATGCACTATACAATCAATCCATTAAGTGTATTAACAGATGTAACCTTAGTAGATAATAAATACTACATTGTTTTCCTAAGCAAATTCATTCAGAAAATACTTGTGTGGTAAAAGTGGCATAATTGCATATAGTCAAAGCTAAAATTATTTTACCAATAAGTGTACATGTAGGTTTACAGGAAGCCCAGTTTGGACATAGAACGTCCTGATAAATACAATGTACCGGTACTACCCTGGAAAAATAGTAAATGCAAGTACCTCTAGAACCCGACTCAATGTTCTATTTCAACTTGCATCATGTGTGCCAAAATTTGCCTTATTGAAAAATAATTTTACAGCAAGTATTGGGGCAGCCAATTTGCAAACTCGCTATCGAATTGGCTAAGTGCTTGGGTTTTGACTAAACGGTTGGCTTTCGAATCTCGCTTTCCATTTACAGTTTCGCTCACAAGATGCAATGTCAGGTTCAGTTTCTGTTCATATTTGTGATTACAGCAAGGCTGATTAAGATGTGCAAATTTGGGTAGCAGTCACCAGGCTGCTGCTGGACCAAATACTTCTGTTTTTGCCAATACCCAAATCTTAGAATGCAGTACAGCCCTGGCAATTATAACAAGCCATGCATGGCATAGTCCCAGTATAGAAATTTAAGATATACAGTTTTGTTTATAGCATTATAGTTGGAACATAAACATGTCAGAGATACGAGTCTAGAAGCTGATGATTTTTTTAACATTAAAATGTTTGACATTGTTATCTTGTATCTGATAGTCGTGAGTACTTGTCCATAATGAAACATTGCTCTGGAACAGCCACCAGTCGACCATTTTGAATACATCTGTATATCTGTTACATGATGTATAATGAACATTGTCAAAGTAAAAGCATGTCAGAGATCGGCACGAGAACTGCATTCAAACAAAATAGACGCTGGTAGTCCATTTTAAATCCGATCTGAAAAATAAAATGACGTGCATCACAGTCTCAATGTTTGAACAAAATCCATCGTAAACATCCGAGAAATGCTTGATTATGTTGATTTTTTTAGTGCAAAAATGGTCACCAGTTAGCCATCTTGAATCAGATCGAGAAACAAATTTATATAGGTCAATCTACAAGTCTCAGTTTTCGGACTATGTCCGAACAAGAAATAAAGTCAATATTTGTTTAAACTATTTTTGAAATGAACATGAGGTAGATAATATGTTTGTGGAGGGACTACGTTGAAATGGATATACCATGCAGAGAAATTCTAATTTTGAATTGGCACCCATCTGCAGAACATTTAGTTGGAGGGACGGGGATAACAATCTCTCCTGCCAAAGATAACCTCTCTGCTGATATTGGTTCATTTTGGTAGGATCTGATGCTTCCTATGTTTAAGGAAAACAAAAACAAAGGACCTTCAGACATACATTAGGGATTCTATTTTTCTTCTTTTGTCATTTGAGTAAACTGCTGAAATGGTCTCAAACATTCTATACTGACAGAGGCAAATGTGACCTCATGCCTCCCACTTCAAGAATGTTTGGCAGCCATCTTAAATTTAAGTGAAACCCAAAGTGGCCATTTGCCATTTTTAACTTTCTGATGGTCTAGACATTTTGAATTTTTCTTTGTAGAAGCCAAAGTATGACAGTTGTAAGACTTTCCACTACGTTTTTATCCCCCCACAAAATGTGAAAATCATCTTCAGAAACACTGAACAAATTGATGTAAATGTGGGACAGACTATCAAATTTGTTGAATTTAAGCTAATTTGTCCAGAATCATTTCTTGCAGAATTGAGTTGTGCATCAGTATCGTACATATTTGATTACAGGTGCACATTTTTACCTAGTTGAGCATATGCAATGTACCGGTATATAGTAAAACAAAAATCCAATATTGATTTATGTTGAATATGTATATTTCTACTCAAATTCATTTATATACTTCACAATACCAGAGTGGAAACAAGGTAAGTAAAATACACTACAGTTATAATATTCACATGAAGGATGCACACAATACATAGCAGATGACCACAACACGAGTTGTGTCCATGAAATCAGTATTTGCTGGTAAAATAAAATTTTATAATTTAGATTCCTGCATTTGAACCTGTACTTAATATCTGTATACAAGGGAAAACTTGAGCAGAGTTTGTTGTAACAATTCATTTAAATGTTCATTAACATTTCAGAAAAATGTAGATACTTGTAAAGAAATCATGAATAGAGGAGCTAGGCTCTTGGTGCAAACCAACACCAAAATTGGTTGAATACTTTTGTTCAAATGAATTAAATAAACCCTTTATTTTTTTTTGCCTTATAAAATCTGCATTGTATTTCAAGAATTAGAATCACTTGAAATTCAAATACAAAACCTGTGGTGATTGGTTGCGTAAGAAAGGCATACATATTAATTTTTATAATACAACATTTCAGGGTAGTGTAAATATGCACCCTTTAACGTTACACATTTAATGTGGTCTGCTGTACACTGTAGTAATTAGAGTACAAATCCCTGCGACAGGTCCGCCTGGCAGCTGAGATTGGCAGAGTGAACGAGTAACATCTTGTAAATAGTTTTAAGTGATGTTACTCCATTATTAAAAGTCTGATTGATTTTAGTCTTCCAGGAAAAAGTATTGCCCACTCTTCTTTTGTTCCGAGTCTTTTACAGAGTTCAACTTGTTGATTCGTGGTCTGAAGTTGTTGGGATCTCGTCTAAATGTGATTTGAAGAGATTTCAGGAACTTGTTCATACCAGGAAGTAATCCTTGTGGCCTACAAGGAGTCAAACAAAGTCAAACATAATTAATCAATAACAATGGGATAGATGGGAGGAATGGGATAAGGAGAGGGGATGGAAGGAAGGGAGGGATTGGATAGGAATGGGATGCAAGGGTGGGATGGAATGATGGGATGGGATAGAATGGAGGGCATAGGATGGAGGGGAGGGATGTGATGGGATGCTCAGTTGAGTTTTAAAAGACCTTACTGTGTTGTGAACACTGAATCAATTTTTGTTTCAGATGAAAAACTATCCACTACTGCCAGTGATGGAATTCAAACCAATGCATCACCACGTTATTAAGTTTCAGCTTACTGGTTCACAACCCCCAAGTCAGTCCTCAGTGAATCAAAGTAAATTTGAAAAAAACATTACAGAATGTACTAAATATCTTTTTTTACTTACGTGTTAGCAGTTGTATTGATGGAGGGTTCACCCTCAAAAACAATGACCCTATCGGCCAAGTACGTAGCCATGATGAAATCATGCTCCACAACAAAACCAGTTTTCTTTGCATGTAGGATAAACCTGTAAATGGTAAAAAAAAAAAAATTGTAGTATGGAATTAAACTAGAAGCAAAAACTCTGTCCAGAAGTTCCTGAATGAAATGCACACTGCTACAAAAATCACAACTGAATGAAATGTGTTATGCAAGCAGTCCAGTGTTGGACATGTTGATCAGTTCACCTAAAGTTTTTACACACAAATCTTCATCAGCAATTTTTCTGGTTTGGAATCAAAATCATTTTAAGGTAGAGATGCAGTTTATTTGTGAATTTCAATCAAAAATAGTTTTTTTCGTTTTTTATATAGATTTTTATCTAAAGAACATTCTGTGAAAATTTGACCAATGAATTCTTATTGGAACACCGTTAAAATTGCTGTTTATTTTCTGGTTAAAAATAAAAAACACTCGCACGTGTCAATGTTTATGTCCAATTGTCTAATTTGCATGAGTAACCAAATAACAGGACCTTTGATTGACAATATGCAAATCGAGATTGTACGGGTCATAGTTCATTCAATCAAAGACAATAGAAACTTTCTAATGTCTTTGATTCAATTCACGCATCATTCAGGAATGATTGAAATGTCCGAAAATGACGCCAAAATACACCCTAAAAGTCCCATTTTATTTTTTTCTAAATCCCATCCCGAATTTACGGCAGAATCTGGTCCCTCAAATAAGGGACACATGAGCTTTGATTCTAACCGGATATATTGCACTGGGTCGGGGAGATACAAACTTTCGTGTATCTTTTGTCTAATGGGTACCTGTACTTCGATCATTCGCAAGTTTTGCTAGTTAGTGCGAGACAGCTTTGTTGCA